TCAGGAGTGAGGAATCAGCCCCCATTCCTGCAGAGCCCCAAAGCAGCAGGGTAACCAACACTCCTGATTTTTGCCAAAAAAAAGCTGTGTTTTTGTACCTTAGATAAGCCCTAGAGGACGCAGCCTGCAAAGACACCAGGGCCTGTGGCTCAGGGACATGAAGGAGGAACCTCTCCCTCCAACAGCAGCCTCAATTTTCATTTCCCTTGCTGTAAAACATGAGAGAACACGTATGAGAATGTCCTGTGGATCGCATCCGTTCCTGGCTCCGAGCAGTGCAGGGCCGAGCACGCACGCATGAAACCTTCCCAATCCGTGTGCGATTCCTTGCGGCTCGGAGCACTGCTGCACCGGGACTGCCCACGGACAAAGCAGAGCGGAGCGGGTTTGCTCAGCTGATTAGCTCCCCTTCCTCTGGCTCCACATACCCACGGTGTGTGAAGGACCCACGGGTGCCGAACGGTGCTCGGCACATCCCAGCGGGAAGCGCCCGGCCTTGCACCTGGGCCGTTCTCATACCAAAGCTGCTCTGACTGCACGAGACGCCCCGAGGGGGTGGAGGGTCCCTTGCAATCCCTGCGTCTTGCAGGGTGGTCCCCAGCTGAAGCGCAGACCCTGCGGACAGAGGGTCTTTATTCCAACCCCCTCGCAGCAGCCGAGCGCTTCCTTATCCCAACCCCCTTCCTCGGGGTACAGCAGCGCTGCCGGGCACCCTCCGAGCAGCTCAGGACTTACCGAGCAAGCAAACCCCGGGAGAGCGCGGGCAGGACGCGGACGGGGCCGGGAGCCTCCGCGGGGACCCCAACGCTCTGCATGCAGCTCCCGCCTGGGCCCGACAAAGCGGAGCAGCTCCGGGCGCTTCGGCAAGCGTGGTGGAACGGGGCAGTGAGGGTAAAGCACGGAGGGGAAAGGCAGTCCTGGAGAAGAGGGAGTGAGAGGTGGTCTAGAGCAGTCCAAGAAGCATCTCTGGAAAAGAAAGCAGCAGGAAAAATAATGGGATGGAGTGTGGCGAGGATGGATCCTACCTCCTCTTCTGAATCCCCCTATGTCCCCCAAACCAAGCACAGTACAAGACAGGGCACGAGCTGTTTGCAGCCTGCTTTCCTAAGGAGAGGTTTCCGTGACCTCAGGATTGCTCCGGATCCGTATTCCCCCCTCCTGGATAACAGCACTAGGATCCGCTGCTCTTTTTCAGCCCCCTTTCACCTGTGCTGCAGAGACACCTCCACGACGGCACCGTAAGACACGTTTCATAGCAGCAAAGGTCTGCACAGAGGATGGAGATGCCACCAGCACCCGTCTTGCCTAGGAAAGGAGGTGACTGGAGCTTCCCCACGTTATTCCACGTCTCAGATTACATAGGAAAAACACGAGGACCCGCGTTGCTGCGGCTGTTAGAATGAGCCAACGGTTTCACGGTTCACGAGAGGGAAATACTTGATATTTACATTTGTACTTTAAAACAGAAAAACAAGCAGAAGCCAGATGGAGAGCCCATGGAGATGACGTGGCATGGCCATCTTAAGGACAGTAACATCACAGAAAAACAAGAAATGTATCTTGTGACACAGATGATACAAAAAAAAGCAATTCTGACCGGCAATAATTACCCTGCTTCCATGAAAACTTCTCAGTACCTCTTGCTACGTGTGAGCAGCAAAACTGGCACCATTATAAGCTTCAGACAGAGGTATTGTAAAAGTACAGATTTCTTGTAAATCAAGAACACTGGTCCTGAAAACTCACAGTCCATAAAAGCCCTGTGGCACCTGTTTCCAGGAGAAGGAGTGTTAGATTTCCTTGGTTAAATTCAAGCTACAGTAACACTTTGACCTCTCTGAATCTGCCCACTTGAACAAGCTCGACATGGGACAAAATCTTAAAATGACCTTGACATTCATGGTGATGCAACACACGCAACCCACTGGTAGCAACGGGGGGAAGTATTTTGCAGCAAGGCCCTGCACTTTTGCACTGCTATTGCAAATTAATACTAAAAAGAGCTCCGGGGTTATCGTTTTTTCTGTGCCATTCCCTGGAATGTGCTGTCAGGAGCTTCATACCTACAGCCACGAGGCACAAGCTGCAGCACCACAGGGAAGACAGAACAACGGGGCAACCCCGGTGCGGGGGGTGAGTGCTTTTACCTGGGAACAACGTCAACTTCGGGGCAAAAAAGTCAAAATGAGGAAACGTCCTGCTCTAAACACTGCTGTGATTCCTCGTGGGAAGTGATTCCTCTCCTGAGCTGGTGTGTTGTGGTGAGGAAGAGCACCGAGAGCGAAGGCCTGAGCGCCTGCTGGGAGCCAAAACACAGCTACAAAACAGGCCCCGGGGAACAGCAGCGAGTTTCAGCTCCCTTGAGGCATCCGCGGAATATTTATGTCTGTTCAAAGAAACAAAAAGGTTCTGTTGAGGCCCATTTCTTCAGGCATCAAAGGTTTTTCTCCAAAACATCTCATTTTTGTTGACGTTTATGACCAGCTACAAAGCGTGCTTCTGGTTTCCTGAGTTGAGAGGAGGGGGGAGGATTCCAATGGGAGGAAATGCAAAGTTGCAGTGGGTCGTGATCTGCTCGAATATGCCAAAATAAATACCCGTGCATGTCCCTAGGGAACTGTTTGCACCAGGTTTTTCAGATGAGCCAAGGAACGTCCACATTTTGTGGATATGGACCTAAATAAACTGGTTAAAAAGAAACTCCACCTGCAGTTTTGCAGGGGACTGACTCATCCTTTCCCACCTCGTTTGCGTAGCCGGCTGCACACAATTAAACAGCCAGTAACGACGCACGCTGTGTTTTCCCTCAGTACAGGCTCCCTCTCCTTCTGAGTGGCTTTTTGCAAAATTCTTCCTTTACCAGGAAAAACCATCGTTCCATTACCAGGGAAGATGCTTTGCAAAGGAAGGCTGCTGCTGCTACGAAAATTGGAGCTGCCTCTTCCTAGTGCCATGAACATAAGCATCAACGGGATGTCTTTCCAGGATAGCTTCCTCTGAAGTAAGAGAGGAGAAGGAAAAGGGCAGATTTGTCATTGCTTTTCAGCAAAGCTAGGTGTAAATACGTATCGCTCAGTTAACAGTGGGGACAGTGACCCTACGCACTCATCTCGCTAAGACTAGCCAAGAAAAGCCCAGGCAAACCCTTGCACTTGCACAGCATCCACTTTGCAACTATTTACTGCCTGAAAAGCCAAGAGGAAAGGACAGGAGCCTCGCGGTGAGCTTGCTGGATCAGGTTTGGGGGGCAAATTCAGCACGTATGTGGTAAAGGGGAGAAGAAAAAGGTGGAGTCAGAAGCATTTGTGTCAGCCTCAAGCAAAAGGCACCTGTCACTAAGCACTACCCTGGCCCAGCAGCACCCAGAACTACTAAACGTGATAGAGGACAACACCTAAAGCAGGAGCAAGCTCCTAATGGGGACAGGGATACAGCTGTCCCCAAACCCGAGACCGCTACATGGGATTAGAAACCCACCTTTCTTCTCCTGTTATCACTCCACACAGGTTGTGCCTTCGGATTTTTTCCTCCCCAGCTCAAGTGTGCTGGGGAAGGGATATGATTTAGTTTGTTTGGACTGAGCCATTTAACTCATGTTAAACAAACATGAACCGGACAAGGTGTGCTAGCACAGGAGCATGTGTGCTTTCAGGAAGGGAGCTGACTTGGTTTCTTGGTGTTGTCACAGGCAAATCTCCTTCAGACAGATCTTAGCTGGAACAGACTCCAGGTTGGTCCAAGAGGGCCAACTTTAACAATAACTTGTGTTTCCTTTGATTTTTTTTTTTCTAAATCACTTGATTAGAGTGGAGGAAAAAGTGGTCTTTGATTGTCACTGAGACCTTCTTTGTCTGGTCCTAAAATTTGGGAGTTACCCACCAAAAGGCAGGAAAACCACCATGAGCTGCAATGAACTGGGGGAATCAGATCCCCATAAACTACTAATCCAAATGTGAAACTACAAAACAAAATTTAAAAAAGCTATCTATCAGCATAAATTTGCTGTTTTTATGGTACAGGAGAACAGGAGAGGAAAGGAAGTAGGGGGAAAATGTTGCTTCATATTGTTTCTGTAGCTGCCAGCAAGTGTTTGCAGGCAAGAAACTAAATCCAAACAACATTTTCACCCACTTTGGAGCCCCTAGACCATACTTCCCTCCAACAGCAGCACAGTAAGCCTACTAATTTCCTCCTACAATCGGCACTTACTGGGTGCTACTTCCCCATCTCCTATCCATATGGACCTTTAGGAGCAGGCTTAACTCTTGTTAAACCCAAAGTCTCAATGGCATTGCGTTCGCATACGTGTATATGTGTGCGTATGTGCAGCACATATATACATGTATACATAGGAACTCCCCAAATATTATTATAAAGCAAGTGTTTTCTCACCACCCTCTCCCCTCCCCTCCCCAGGCCAGTGTGTTTCAGAAGAGACTGGAACAGGAGGCTCCCGAGGGCCACGCAGCCCTGGCGGCAGCGCCACGTCGAGGTGTGTTAACGTGTCCCCTCCGGGATGCGTGCCGACGGAACGCCTCCGCTCACAACACCGACTCCTTGGATTCGGGCTCTGCCGTGCTGCTTGCGCTGGGGACTTGGTTTTTGTGAGTTACCAACGGGGACGTTTCCCCTTCCGACTTGCTGTTGGGAATGGCTTCCACGTTGACTTCCTTTAATTCCTGTTCTTTTTCTTTCTTGGCTTTCTCGTTCAGGTAATGAAGGATACCTGCTCCTAGGGCATCTCCTTCCACGTTCACAACTGTGGTGGTTCGGTCCCTGGTTATGATTAAAACAAAACAGCACAGTGGCCTTTTAATTTAAGAGAATTAAAACACAGTATGAGAGGCAAAATTCATCCCCGCTGTTTGTTCAATCACATCAGTAGAGTTAGAGAAGGGATGTGCTGTTATCATTGTGATTTTCCATGCCAATATCATCACAAATATGGACAAGAGCTGGTTTAAGGTGGGCTCAGCCATTACTGTCAACTGGTTCACAGCTATTATTGTCATCCCTCAGTTGTGACCTTCCTCAGCCTTGGAAATTCAAGATTGCCCTTAGACTTCCTAATTCCCACGTCTTCTGTGTGACTAGCCCATCCATACAGCAAGCCTGTTGCTTCCAAAGAGCAATTCGGAGAGATTATGGAAAATCTAAAGCAGGAACTGCCCGGAAACCTTTAACGGTCAAAAACAGACGTATGGCTAACAGTGGGAATCTCTTGATCCCCACTGACTAGCGGTTCCAGCCCACCACTCACCTCCAACCAGCTCTCCTGAAGGCAGATGTTGTCTTTAAGCTATCAGTTCATGTCTACTGCACTGGTGTTTGAAGTGGAGGTATTAAATGTTAGGCTTTCTGCATCACTGAAATCAGGTGTTAAGATTTGAGAGCAGAAAGAGGCTAACACTCAGCTGTGCTGTAATTCATGAGTGCTCAGAAAAGCCCTCCCAGTTGGATTTTCTAGTATTTAAAGAGGAGCAGACACAAACAGGCTTGTTTGAGAGGAAGAGCTGACAAACCCACTCCAGCAGAGCTCATTTACGCAGTAAGAAATCACCTGCATGTCTCATTTACACTTGGGGCTGTGTCCCCAATACTTAAATCAGATTTTCTAGTCCTTTCCTGATTTCATTTAGGTGCTGGTACAGAAACTGAGTTTAGGCTTTAACGAGGACTTAACCCAGCCGAGTGATGGGACAAGTTCTTCCAGACGGAACTGGGCAAGGGCTGATATCTCATGTTTCCAGAAGGGAGATGTTACTGGTGTGAGGAGAGAGGAAACTGAGCAAAGCTCTGCGCTCTCAGCCCTTTCCAGCACAGGGGAGGGCAGTGTGTGCCCCTCACTGCTGGCTCCAAGCAGCGGGTCTGCCTGTGACGGTTGCTGTGTCCCTCTGCGTCCCCACGGAGGACACCTTGCTCCCATGCGTCCGTGCTCCGTCTTTCATCGTTCAGACAACGGCAACCAACAGCTTTTGGAGATGGCTTCACACCTCTGACTCCCTGAAAGCTTTCCCTAACTATTCAGGCTCGTTTTCCTTTCCCTTTCCCCTATTGCCCATCTGATTTTTCAGCAACATCAGTACCTTCCTGCACAAACTTTTAGTTATTCTTATGAAGGCAACTGAAGCTAAGGGAAACCGTTTTCACTCAGGGTTGGGTAGAAAAGCCAGAGAGGAATTTTGGCGTGCAAACTTCTTTGACTGAAAAGGGACCTCCCTCTCCATTGTCCTCTATCAGCTGCCACAAACTTCCTTTCCTGCAGGCAGCCACACCTCGTAGGTTACTCTTTCATCCCTGCTACCTTGGCTACGCTGCACCACGTTGAACGTCCCATATGTGGCCCAGGGTACTTACACAATCCAGTCCACCGCCAGGATCAAGGAGAGGTCGTTGGTGGGAAGGCCGATGGCCTCCAGGATGATGGCGATGGTGAGCACTCCTCCGGCCGGGACGCCCGCTGCGCCCACGCTGGACGCGGTGGCTGTCACGCTGCAGGGGAGGCCGTGCAGCCCGTTAGCATGAGTTCTGGGGCTCCCTCCCACAGTTACAACACGCTTTGCTCCACCACGGGAATCCTCAACCACCTCTGCAGTGAGGGGGACACGCAGAGCATCTGCTTCCCAAGAAGATCTTTCCTGCCTGCCAAGGCAGGAGGGTGGAGGGGATGATGGGGCAAAGTGTGACAATTAAGAGGGGTGATAGTGGGGAATTAGAGATACAAAGACAGGAGAGGCAGGAGCTAAGCAGGGGCAGTGTCACGAGTATGGAATTGATGTATAAGGAGCTGGGGAGCCAGCAGAAGTATTTTCTAAGACTTGCCCAGAGGGGAAGTCAGGGCAGCTTCCTGGGCAGAGCAGCAGGCTGCAGTTCCCCAGCTCAGAGGCAAAAGAAGAGAGGTCCTTAAGGAGGGAGAGGAATTCCCCGCGAGGAAAAGTTTTGAACAGCTTAAAGCCTGTTCCTAAATCAGTTACCCCTCCCAGGTTCCACCTTTTATTAAACCAAGATTCCGGCAAATCTTATAAAGCTTGAAAGACTCTGTGCCTTAATCACCCTGTAATTACGTTTCATAGCAGCTTGCAGGCTTTAGGTCAGAGATGTGGAATGCAAACTGCTGGCTATTAGCAGAGAGCCCACAGGCTTTAACGTGTCTGGGGGCCAGGAGGATGTGGTTGCGACTTACAGAATGGTGAAGATCTGCCCAGCGTTGAGGTCAACATTGTTCAGCTGAGCAATAAACACGGCTGCCATGCACTGGAAAATAGCAGCTCCATCCATGTTCACCGTGGCCCCAATAGGAAGGATAAACCTGCTGATCCTCTTGTCAACTCCGTTGTTTTCCTCAATACACTTGATCATCGATGGGAGAGTGGCTGAGCTAGGAGCAGAGAAGAGGGAAAGTCAATCACAAAGCATGAGGGAGCACTGAATGGAAAGCCACCGTCCTGCGGCCACCGTGTTTCTGACACACAGCAGCATGAAACCCCAGACAAGGCTGTCACGAAGGGGATGCCACTCTGCAGTCCCTTGCTGTCATGATGGCACTGTCCCCCCTTGGTAATGTCTCTCTGGAGCAGTGGTTTTTAATAATCAGCTTAGGCCCAGAAATAGCTGATGAGGACTCTAATCTCCTAGGAGCAAGAACTCATGACTTAGCTCCGCATGCAGCGTAACAGGGTTTCGGAATGATGGATCACCAAAACATGAATATACTACACTAAATACAACCATAAACACAACCACTGCAACAACAGTCTCTTGTTGTTTCAATAGACAAATCAAAATTGACCGTTGGATTTATTTTTTGCATTATAAAATCATATGAATTAATTCATAATCCTCTACTAGTACGTGCTTAATTCAGCTCCTGTGATGGTCATGTATTTACACTTTTTGGAGAGGACCTGAAAGGATTTTATACAGTTATGATCACCGATAAGAAACTTGCCCCTTTGGAAAAGTGTAAATGACATGCCTGATAGTTTGGAAATCCTTGATTATGAGAAATAGGAGTCGATCAGGCCAGATCCTTGAAATCAATAACACGATGTCATTTTACACTAGGTAATAAGCCTGCTTTGCTCCTACAAAATCAGTCTAAACTTGCTCCAGATCCCCCTGAACTTGCAGAAATAAACTTCTCCAGGCAAAAAGTCCCTCACTACTGACCTTCACCTGTTACTTAAAGCTAAAAGGACAACGACCAGGATACTTTTTAAGGCAAACACTTTCACCTTCTGCATGAAAAATTTCCAACTCAGCATCTAAATCTAACGTCAGACCTCAAACTCATAGCAGTGTGGCGTTAGGATGCAATCAGGAAGACAACCAGACTATATTCCCAAAAAAAGCTCACCTGGAGCAAGTGGCAAAAGCAGTGGTAAGTGGCGTGATGAGTCCTAAGAGAAAGCGATAAGGATTTTGGCGTGTGGATGCAAAATAAATAAGTGGCAGGATGATTCCTCCATGGATGAAGTGGCCCAGAATAGAGGCGAAGATGTATTTTCCCAGACTGGTCACCAGAAGCATAATATCTTCCATTTCCACAATCTTGCTCCCAACAAGGAACATAATGCCAACAGGAACATACCTGTGTGAAGAGTTATGGTCGGTCGTTAAGCACAAAACACAAGGCCTGAAGAACATGCTGCTTTCTATGCTGCACGTTACATTCTTCCAGAGAATCTGCTGCTCCTCCTGGAGGCCTAGCAGCGCTTTCTTCAGCACACACTCACGTTATGTGAGTTTGCAAGGCTCTTCCTGCACTCTCCCTCGGTGGAAGGCAAGTTGCCAAACCGGGAAACCTCCCACTGTCCCATGTCCTCCGGAGACCCCTAGGACGTAGCAGAAAGGAGCCAAACTGGGAGCTGAAGTGTTGGCAGGAGCCATCAGGACACGACCCTGGCGTGGAGCTGGGGCTGGCGGGGGGGAAGGTGGGCAAAGACCCAGTGCTAAGTAGGTCACTGCTGAAGGGGAGGCTGATGGCAGGGGAGAGGGGGGAGCAGTATCACGGCAGCAGAGCTGAGGAAGGTACCAGGGACGGGGTGCTACGGAGTTTGGGAGCAGCAGAACAAGTGTGAAGTCACGTCACTAAAATGGCAGCACTGCTGGATGCCAGCACATTCCGTGTAGGAAAGGTAAAGTCACAACGGCATCGCCGGCAGGCCACATCACGAAGGGCTGCTAATGCACGTGCCAAAGCAAGCAATTAACCCGGCCCTTGGTCTACAGGAGATTAAGCCACCGGGTTTCCAGCGCCTCCCTCAAGCCAGCAGCCACATTCCTACCTCTCCTATCTAGGAACGCGCGGCTCGACGTCAGCATTTGCCTGGGGTTCCTCTCGCGAGGACCGCGCGGGCCCGCTCGATTCCAGGGGCAGGTGCCCAACGCGGGCCCCAAGGCCAGCGCCCGGAGCGCCTGGGACAGCCCTGGAGAAGAACTAGGGACTCCGGGGCAGCGCCGAGGCCCCGCGGTCCCGATAATCCTCAAAGCAAGGACTAGGCATCAACCGAGGGGCTCCAAGCGTTAGCGCCGGGATGAGCCGAGCGCGAGAGGTGCCGCTTATCAGTGTTCAGCGTCCCGGGAATCACACTCCGGAGTGAACGGCTTAAGCGGCTTTTAGACTTTAATTTTTCAATCCTTGATGACAGTAACTAACATGGACGGGCCTGTGTGAAATGAGGTGGTTTGTTAGAACCTTTATGCTGCTCACGGGGAGGGGGAAATAGCAAGGGAAAAAAGGCAAAATGAGGAAAAAACCTGATTTGGTAAGGCAAGCACATAGAATCCTTAAGGTTGGCAAAGGGACAGAGAAACGTTAATTATATAGTTATGATTAAGTTATAGTTAATTTGTTAAGTAACTAGTTTTAGGACGGTTTTCGTAGTATCCTAAAATTCCTGGTATCAGGGAAAAGAAATAGAAGAGAGAAGCAAGTACTAATAACTGATCAAGAGCTAAACTCTGCACTAGTAAAAGCACTTCCTGCTTCATCCAGGAAAATGGAGGAGATTTTTGAACAGGAACAGGGATGTAAAGACCCACGTGAAACTCTCCCAAACTGCCCCAAAACACTCAGTAGCCAGCACTGCTGTTTTAGGAGGATGCAGCCCACAGCCCTGCAGCAGGGTGACTTTGGCAGGACCATGTTCTTCACTCGCTCACGCCGCGTGTGCTCACGCCAGCCCAGGAACTAACCCGGAATAAACAACGTAAAGACATCTGCTTTTGCTGTGAGCAGGGATGTGACATGGAAAACGCACAGGGAGGCAAAGGGCAAGATTCCTGAGCTGGGCACGACTGTTCTCCCACAGACGTGTCTCTAACACTCACCACATAATCCAAGAAACCAAGACCATAGTGGCCTCATTGAAGGAGTTGAAGAAGCGAATCAGATCTTCCCCTTCGCGGCCAAGCTTCTTCAGCGCCACTCCTAGAACCAGAGCAAACATCACCAGGCCAAGGATGTTCATCCCTTCGATGTCAGTGCCAACAGGGATCTGTGGAGACAAAAAAGCAGCGGGCTTGTTAGGTGGAGACGGGTCTGTCTTTTTGACACTCTCTGATTGATCTGGAATCAGCAGATCCAGCGCATGAAGAAAAATCACACATGAGCAGGACAAAACCGGGACAGTGGTTAAAAGCCTGCAGGTTTCCTCACTGTTTTCCTGCGAGGAAAGGGTGTCTGGAAGAGACTGCAGGTCCAATAGCAGCTGTTGGTCATACGATTTGCCCCCTCTGTTGATTCCAGTGAGTTTATTTGGGTGCACTATGATCTTCTACCTCCTAAAATAAACCATATGTGCAAGCTGCTTTCAGAGGTCTGGCCCCAAACACAACTACTTCCCAGCATCTCTGACGGGAATCTGCTTTCAGAAAGTGCCAGCCCCTTTGCTTTAATGGAATATTTACACCACGGTGAAAACCAGGCAAAAATAAACAGTGTCGTTAAGCGGAAGGAGGAAGGATAACAAACTGTGAGAAGTTACTGATTCATCTCTTCACATCAGCCATGGCAGAAACAGGGAGAAGAGGTGAAATACCTGCTCCCTGTCCTAGAAATCGCGTGACTAAATGGTACCAGTAAGAGGATAAAACCAGGATAGACCTATTGGGGTTGACAAGCCTGCTCTCCTGCTCCTCCACAGTGCCTGTCTCCAAAGGGCTGGAGTTTGTTTGGCAAACCAACATCACAGGGACTGAGCGAGCGTTCTTGTGGCTTCATAAAAATACAATTGTTTAGACGAATTCTTTTCCCCCCAACTTAGCAGCACAAGCTCGCGTGCCAAATTGGTGTTTTCTTTGGAAGGGCTTCTCCAACAGATTAGGTTTGTGGACAAGTTTGGGCCTTGTAGCTAGTCTGAGCAGACACTAGCTCACCACTAGCAAGTGAAAATACATTCTGAGCTAAAAGCCTAAAACAAGCATTGACTAAAGACCTCAGCACACTGCTCTGCTGCAGTGTTTCTGAGATAATATTTTAACTAAAAGTAAACTGCTGACCTGGATCGTTCTCTGTAGCAAAGAGCTGCAGAGAAGAGGATAAAACATAAATTGTACCGAGAAAAAAGCCCAACCACACCGAGGTGGCTAAAATGCTGTTAACAAAAGTGTACACAAGGATGAAAGCAATGAAGCTTCCAGCGTTTTTAATTGTTAGCTGCAAAATAATTAGATACAAAAATTTTCTTTTTTTCACGGCAGTTGTTTGTTCTGGGCTAAATCCTCCTCAGTCTCTTTCACCTCTCTCTCTACTGGATTTCAGAGTGAAAGAACTGGAAACATGCAGAGGATATTAACAACGGGGCTCAGTTTATCCCCAAATACGTCTGAAGAAATAGGCTTTTTTCTTCACATACAGCAACACTCTCCTGTGTGAATGGTTTTGTCTCTACTCTTATTTTTGTGGCTGAAAACCCTGTACTCTCATTTTTCTACTTTTCACTTCTCTTAGCAAAACTTCTCCAGGATAGGAAACAAATTCAAGTCAGTCTTATTTCAAAAGCTGAAAAAAGATGTAAAGTTTTAGTTAAAAAAGATGTAAAGGATTTACCAGCGTGATACACATATCAGAAAAAAATCCAGGTAGGTTCTCAAGTTCTATGAACAATTCATTAGCAGGAAGCAAAAAAATGTCTAGTCAAATAATGCTCTTTGAAATTTTTCCAATAAGTCATGGCACTTAACCAAAATCAAAACTTTCTTTAAGAAAAGTCAACTTGGGCAAAATGTACATTTTTTTACATGAGAAAAAAAAGCACTTATTAAATTTATATGGAGGAAACAGAATGCTTTTTCCTTGATGAAATATTTTCATGTTGATTTTTTTAACCCACTATTTATAACATTTTGTACTAGGTCCAGCTGATACAAAATTAATAATTAAAAAAAAAATACAGCTTGGTACAACATTTTAACGTAAGCAGTGCAAACCTTTCCCACCCCCAAAAATATGTTTTTACCAAAAAAAATTGGCCTCTTGGGCCCCACTCTTGTGATTTGGGCCCCCCTGAATTCCTGAGGACTGGAGACTCCAGGCAGAGTCCCAAAAAACTTCTTAGCTGTTCCCCTCATCTAGTTCTATCATCACCACTGATTTCGATGCTGACAGAGCAGGAACTTACTCCAGGCCAGGTTGATTTGCAGGGAGCAACCTCGAGTGTTCACGGGATTTTGCCTCCTTGCAGCAAAATAGGGAGAAATTCCAGCATTAAATCCCCAGCGGAAGATCCTCTCAATCCCCGTCTCTAAAACTGGCAGATGCTGAACAGCCTTTTTGTGCTCTAACAGAAGAGTGCATCACCCCAAGGGAGCTGCCAAACCAAGCAGCATTGTGGACACTGCACAAAAACAGCTTTGATGAGCGCTTTTTTCCTGGGTAAGTGACGGGACGCATTATTATTTTGCTTGAAATTGGGTGTCCCGGGAGGAAGATTCATGAATCTCTTCTGGTCCCTGAAGAACCTATTGTTTTTAGGCTCTTGGAGCAAAATGCTCATCCAGGATACAACTGCTGACAGCAGGTAGCTGAGAAGAAAAATGTGAGCTGTGGTCACTGGTGTGTATATTGTTACTGCCACCGCAGGAGGACCCAGGAATCCCTTACAAGCTCCTTAGCTGCAGATGAGGAACTAAGATAGCCCTTCCTCCAGGAAACAGGCTGCTCAAGATGCAGATGTTACCTGCATCAGGGAGGATGTAGCCATCAAAGCTGGGTAAACAGGAGTGAGAGCATGAAACAACACAGCAAACGTGCCCCACTACTCACACTGTCAGCACGAGGAGCCAGGGCCTATTAACCCGTGGGGGAACAGCACTGGAAACCTTTGATCTACACTACTCACATCAAAAGCAGAAGAAAAACATTTCTCCTCTTCAATCAAATGCTCTGCTGATGAAAGAAAACACGAGGCAGTTTTCTATCACTATGGTATTTATATTATATGTTATCCAAAAATCATAGTCTTCCGTTCCAAACTTAATCCTCACCTATCCATAAATAATACGGTCTGGTCAGCATGGAAACCGAGCTGGCAAAGCTCAGATGATGCTTCCTTTTAATTCGACCTGCTCTTCCCTAGAGAATGGAGGGCGTCTTCTGGCATTAAAGAAGTTCAGCTCTTGCTTGGTTCCAACAACTGAAGAAAGTTTGGAAAAGTAATTGGCGAAACAGCCTTTACTTCACAGCCACTGGCAAAAACAGACACCAGTGACAAATTCACTTTTTTGGGGGGGGAGTGAGTATTTCATCAAGCTCTGATAAGTGATAAAGAAAACAGGAAGAAGCTCACAGTTTAACTTGTCCAAAAGAAAACTCCATCCTTACCCCTTGAGCAAGAACGATGGCTTTGAAAGAGCATTAGAAACTGCACTCCGCAGCCGGGCGCCTGTTTCCAGTGGCTGTGGTGAGCCCTAACCTGTCCCTGCTTGCCACGCAGCTCCTAACAGACTCCAGACCAGACACGGGTCAGAAGGGCCCCGCTCGCATCGCATGTAGAGTGAGGACTGTGCAATGAAGAGGAAGGCCACGCTGCTGCAAGCGTGCGCGTGCCCGAGCGCGTGTGCCACGACAGCCTTTCCTGCAGGCTTGTTTGGGCAGCACGAGGCTGCACGGGCACGTTGTGCCCGAGGAGAAGGAGGAGAAAGGGCCTCTCGGGTTCGGCACGCGGCGAGCGCAGATCCCGGCTAACGCGGGACCTGGGCAGCTCCTCCCCGGCTGCCTCTTCCCCGCTCGGCTCCTGCTCCATCCGAGCCACCTTTCGCCCTCCTGGGCTGGGGAAAGCTCAGCCCGTGAGCCAAAAGGGAGCTGGAAACGCACCTTTCTGCGCCACCCGTGCACACAGCACGTGTGGAAAGGAGAGGGCAACACGGCCAGCGCCTCCTGCCCTCGGGACCTGCCTCGGAGTCCTCCCAGGCGCACGGGAACTGCCCTTCACTTTGTCGTTTTACACAGACTAGTGCAACTGGCTGAGCTTTTCCACAACAAACCAACCAGTCTCTTGCCCTTGGGACACGTAAGTCACACTAAAATACATTAACCCAACTTACAGTACTCATCTCAGGAAGTCAGAATGAGCCTGAGGATCATAAAACAACCCTGAGGGCCATTCCCAGTGTCAGACCAGCCTTCCCGAAATCACATGGGATAATTCCTTTGGAATAAGGCTGCAGCTGAGTCTCTCCAGTTCACGTTGTGCTGACTCTAAGGAGACTCTGATTCCTGCTAGCCCATAGTAAAGACGTTGGACAGCCCCACACAGCAGAAGAGTCATTCTCTCCTGACTGGGATGGAGAATAAGGTCTAAGGGACACAAGCAGGCCAGCCTGATTGTCACTTAATTCCAAGTCTACAGAAAATCTTTTGGAAACACTGGGCAGCAAGACGAATCAAAACTTAGGACAAGCGACACCAGGCCTAAGAAAGCAAGGCCTAAATATAAGATACCAAGGGTCAGCTCAGTTGATTTAACCCCCTTTCCACCACAGCTTACTTGTGTGGCTAAAGATCACTTCACCTGCCTTGTGTGTGTCTGGAGCAGGAGGCCAGCACTTGGCTCCTTCCAGCGAGCCTTGGTAGAGTCAAATATTATGTTAAAACAGACTGTATAAAACACGAGAATGAGTGACCTTACCTTTTCCACCGTGACATTTCCAGAGGTCGTGTTTCTCACCAGGACCTTGTAGTCTGTTGCATACTGCAGGTAAGAAAACACAACGCAGTGTTTGCTAACCAGGTTATCGCGAGGACCGTATCCTTTAGCATTTCACAAGGACTGTCAGGAAGGCTTTTTCCTTTTGATTGAGCAGGACCAGAAAGCCCTTCTGCAGCTACAGCCTCTACAGCGTCTCTGCAGCTGAGGCTGCAACGGGAGAAAGAGCTGAAATACCTGCTGCACAACTTAGAAAGGCCCAACAGATCAGAAAAGCCCACCACAACACCCTTAAGGGCACTTTTGTACTGCTTCTATTATTTTTGCTATCGATGGTATATTGACTTGTCCTGCATTACATATACACTGAAAACGGACCTCGATTTTCGAACATGACCTTGTTTATGATAGCAACGCAAACCCACAAAATGTCATGAAGCCAAAAATGATTTTTCTGCTCCTTTAACAAAAGTAATTGCTCTGTCCCACAGCAGCGCCTTCAACAGTGCCTAGCACTAAAAATGGCAAGGAGAACTAAATCAAAGCTGTCTGTGAGCTCCCAAGCTCCCGTCCATGAGTTTCAGTCACGGAAATCCCACCCGCTCTGGATTTTGATGTTTTCCACCCCACGTGGCTAGCTGTTTTTGGACAAGCCCGCAGGCCCGCGGCGCGCGCCAGCCCCACACACACCTTACCGTGCGGAAAGCGGCGGCGACGAGATTCGCGGGAAACAGGTTCCTGTGGAAACAAAAAGCAAGGAGAGGAAACGTTTACTGCTGCACTTGGGAAACGAACGCCCCGGGGTGGTTTTCTCCTAGAAACTGGGTTCCTTCTGCAGCGGCACACGCGCTGGCGCTGCCGCTTTGCTGCACACCCCGCGTCCCCCACGAGGAGCAGGCGAAGGAGACGCGGCCAGCGGCTGCAGACGCTGCCAGAGCAGCTGCAGCAGCAGCCCCCGGGGCAGGCAGGTTTTTAGCATTCCTCAGCGATTGCATTTTGCTCATAGCAGGAACACGAGGGGCAATCCAAGCAAATGCACTCAGGAGAAGGGCTCGGGCGCTCACAAGCGGGATGATTTCCCCGTCCTCTGCTCCTTGCGTGGTGCTACAAGGGGCCCAGGAAAAGCTACGCTTCCCTTTCACCTTTGCCCCTGCTTTGCCTTAGTGACCCCGGCGTATTCCATCTTAAACCAGGCTTTTGCTCGCGATCATCCCGGAGAGCTGCGGAAAGCGGCAAATCCAGAGGAGAAAGGGAGCCACAGAGGGAAATCTTTGAAAGCGAAAGCATGAGGAACTCGTTAAAGATTAAGATATGCCCCTGATAAAGCGCTTGCACTTTGCATAGCTCCGTTATCCTGCCACACACGGAGCATTTTCCCACAGCCCTGGCTCTTCCCGGAGCTCCCTCGCTGCATTACAAGTGCCCTAGGAGGAAGCTGCACAAGCCAAATTGCTCCAGGAATAATGTGACTCCGAGGCCCTCGTTCCACCGAGCACAAGAAAGGGCAACTTCTCCTCAGAGCATGAGAACAGAGCTCTCTAAAAAGCGCAGAAATAGCTCAAACTCCGCAAAGATGCTTAAAAGTTAGCGCAGTCGTTCAAAGGGAAGAGCTAAGGTGCCTCAGTCCTCTCGCAACCTCAACTCTCTGATAGATGAAAAGCTCAGGCAGAGCAAAAGCAAACTCATGTCAAAGTGAAATGCTGGGTTTTTGAACGGGCAGGGCGCCGTGTCCTCAGGATTTATCCAAAAACAAAGGCAAAATAAACTACGGTTGGGAAAATCGGAACATTGCAACTTTTCATTTCAGGGTGATTACGTCTGTTTTAGAAAAACTGACTGGATTTTGAAGGAATAACAAACAGGAAAACAAGATGTTGAAAAATGACCAGAAATGATTTTTTTAAAAAAATAAAAAAAATCAGCTTTCCCATCCCGCAGGATGGAAAGAGCAGGAAGGGAAACCTGAAAATCCTATGCATTCCTATTTCTGGGCTTCTAATAAAAACATCCCACTTGGAAGGGCCAAAATCTTCCTGTTGGAAAACACACGTTTGTTGGATGCCTGGGCCAAGTGTTGGAATATTAGAAATAATGTTCTGGGTTGTGTTATCTCTGTTGTCAAGGAAGTCCTTTTAACAGTAGGAGTCCACTGAAAGCAATTTGGTGAAAATCTGCCTGGCAGATCCCGGTTGGATTGCTCTAGTGGCTCTATTTTCCCTTTGATGCCAGGTATTTTCATTCAGCAGCACACCACACGATTCTGAGCCGGGAAATTCTCAAAGGAATTTCCTTTTCCGTGTGCCTGTGGATCCGTAACAGACATCCCACCCACACACGCATCACAAGTGTGCACCATGGCTAACTCAGGGAAACTTAAACAAGTGCAATTACTTATAGCAGGTATTGGATACTTCTGGGGCTCAACAGCCCAGTCTGCACCGGCAGTAAAAGGCATAAAGGCCAAAAGACAGAATTCCAAGATTCCCAGCAGGATGATGCGTTCTAGCCGGAGCCAGACAGAAAAACAGAATTCCCTTCCCACAGCCAGTCCCACGGCTTCAAAACATGTTTTCATCCCAAAACAGGGCCAAGAAAGCTACTGTCTCAGACTTTTTTTTTTTTTTCACTGAAAAATATCAAAATATTTTGTTGAGATGTTTCTTTTTGGTGAATGAAGTTTCCTGCTTGGTCTTTCCTATTAAATCACAGCAAAACACTGACCTCACTGAAATGAAATGCCAGCCTCATCCACTGTTGGAAACTTCAGCAGAGTCAACAGGTTGCTGCAGAACTGCTTAATTCGGTTTAATCAGCAAATATAAAGCAGAGGCAGGACAAAACTCCGAAACGGGCACTAGTGGTAAGCGCCAGCGAGTGGGGCGAATCTACAGATTCCTTCAAAAATTCCCCATCCTGGGGATCCGAGTGCTTTCGTGGCGCCCGCGCGGCCTGGCGCGCTCCGCTCCCTGCGGCCATTCCCACGCGTGATCCCTGCTCCTTCCGCTCTCCAGGGCGGCCCGCACGGCGCCCGGGGCCGGCGTTCCCAGCGGGATCCCGGGGCCGGCGTTCCCAGCGGGATCGGGCGCCTCCGGCCGCACCGCAGGACGACGCCGGAGGTTGAGGGCCGCTCCGGCAGGCCGGGACGAGGCGCGCGGCAAACGGGGCCCGGGGCGGGCGGCTGGGGCACGA